GTGTCCTCACTAACTTTCACTAGCACTGCTCAGGATCTAGCTACCATTCAAAAGGAATGTTCGGGATCCAACTACCATTACCTATATATGCTCGAAATTAACTATCATTCAATAAGAATGGTCAAGACCTTGCAACCTTTCACTAAAAATGCTCAGGATCTAATTATCATTCCCTAGGAATGCTTAGGATCTATTTACCATTCACCAAGAATTCTCAGGATCTGACATTCACTAGGAATGCTCGGGATCTAACTACCATTTAATTGGAAAGCTTGGGAACTAATTACCATTCAAAAGGTATGCTCAGGATCTACCATTCAAAAGGAACCCTCAGGATTTAACTACCATCCAAAGGGAATATTTGGGATCTCACTACCACTCACTAGCAATGCTATGGAATTAACTGTCATTCACTAGAAATGATCAGGAAATATCTACAATTCCATAGAAATGCTACCTAGTTCTAGTTCTACCATAGGGGATCTACCATCCAAAAGAAATGCTCAGAATCTATCATTTATTAGGGATATAATTACAATTCCATGGGAATTGCTCAAGATGGAACTATCATTCAATAGGAATGCTTATGCCCTCACTACCATTCACTAGGAATGTTCGGGACCAAATTACAATTCAAAAGGAATGTTCTGTTCATTACGAATGTTCAGGATCTAGCTACCATTCACTAGAAATACTAAGGATTTAACCCATTCGCGCCGGGTAAAAATGAACAAAAAATGGGGAAAAATGCTGTGCTCATTTTTATACTTTTTTGTGAAATTTCTCTACACTAGATGGCTCTGCTTTACCTGATATCATGTGGCGGGAAAATTTATTTTTTACTCATGCTATGAATATCGATGGTTATTTTTATTATAAACATTATAATCATTATAATGTTATGAACATTAGTAACAGCAAAATAAGATAACGCAAAATAATTTCGTAAATTAAAGAAAAGCGTAAACAGGCGAGACAGGCAGTACAAGTACAAGTGTAGCCATCTATATTTGAAAACAATTAAACAAGTAAACTCACAGTGGGCCTGTCACGTATACAAATCTAAGTACTATTCAAAAGGAATGCTCGAGATCTCCAAACTTACTTTGAGGAATGGTCGAGATTCATCAACTTATGATCTCTACCACTCAAAGTGAGTGGGATCTCACTTCCATGCTAAGGATCCCTCTACCATTCAAAAGGAATAATTGGGATCCAACTACCATTCAAAAGCAATGTTCAGGATCTTACTGCCATTCACTAGGAATGCTCATGATTTCTATGATTCAATAGAAAAACTCGAGACCTAACATTCATAAGGAATGATTGCGATCTCACTACCACTGAATTGGTTTGCTCGAAGTTTCACTACCATTCACTAGAAATGCTCGTCTCAATAGGAATTCTTGGGATCTAAATACCATTAAATAGGAATTCTTGAGATTTAACTACCATTCAAAGGGAATGCTTAGGATCTACCTATCATTCACTAACAATGCTCTGGATTGAACTGCTATTCACCAGAAATGTTCTGGATCTATCTGCCATTCAATAGGAATGCTCAGGATCTATCATTCACTGGGAATGACCATAAAACGTTCACTAGGAAAACTCAGGATCTTACTAACATTCAATTGGAATGCTTGGGATCTAATTACCATTTATTAGGAATACTTGTGACCTCACAACCAATGAATGCTCAGGATCTACCATTTGCTATGAATGCTTGGGATATAACTACCATTCACCAGGAATGCTCAGGATCTAATGACCATTAACTAGCAATGCTCGGGTTTTAACTATTACTGACTAGGAGTACTAATGATCTAACTCCCTTTCAAAAGAAATGCTTGGGATGTGACTACAATTCCAAAGCAATGCTCGGAATCTCACTACCATTCACTAGAAAGCCTCAGGATGTAACTACAACTCCAAAGGAATGCTCGTGATCTCTCCACTGTTCACTAGGAATGCTTAGGATCTAACTACCACTTACTAGGAATACTTAGGATCTGACTGCCATTTACTAAGAATGCTTGGGATCTAACCAAAATTTACTATGAATTCTCAGAATTTAACTACTATTCACTAGCAACACTTTGGATCTAACTACCATTCCCTAGCAATGCTTGGAATCTATCTACTACTCATTAGGAATGCTCTGGGTCTAACTACTATTCACTAGTGATGGTAGGGATCTAAATACCATTTAAAAGAAATATTTGGGATGTCAATAGAATGCTTCGATTATCACTCCCATTCAAAAGGAATGCTCAGGATCAAACTACCAATTACTGAGAATGCTTGGGATCCATGTTTCGATAGAAATGCTCGGGATGCTACCATTCTCCAGAGACTACAATTCACCACAAATATTTAGGATGGAAAAAACATTCAATAGGACTGCTTGTGACCTCAATAAAGTTCACTTGTAATGCTTAGGATCTAATATTCGTTAGGAATGCTTGGCATCTAAATATCATTCGATAGGAATGTTCAGAATCTATCATTCAATAGGAAAGTTTGGGACCTAAGTACCATTCACTAGGAGGGTTCTCTCTACCATTCAAAAGGAATTAGGATCTCTGAAAAGAAATACTTGGGATCTAAGGAATGCTCCAAATCTTACTACCATTCACCAGGAATTCTTGGAATCTCTACTATTTAAAAGGAATGTTTGGGATCTCTACCATTCACTAAGAATGCTTAAAGATTCACTTACCATTCATTAGGAATGCTTAGGATCCTACTACCATTACTCATGACCTTGCTACCATTCAATAGGAATTTTCATGACTTCACTACCATTTAATTCACTACTATTCACCAGGAATGCACAGAATATTTCTATAATTCAAAATGAATTGTCAGGATTGCTCTATCATTCAATAAGAACACTCGGAAAATCACTACTCATCACTACAAATGCTCATGACTTCACTATCATTCACTATGAATGTTTGGAATATCTATCATTCACAATGAATGGTCGGGATCTAACAACTACTCAAACGGAATGTATGCAATATCTCTATTATTCAAAAATATTCACTAGGAATGCTCGGGGGCTAAATACAATTCAATAG